AAGCAGCACCAGTAATCTCCAAGGTGCCATTGGACTCATTCTTCCATTGTCTTGATGAATTGTCTTGCTGAAGAAGCAGCTGGCCTCTTCTATACATACTAATCTCTTTATCAAATGGTTACTTGGCTATATTTTCAGTTTTCTCTTGTTGACTTGCCTTTCGTTTCTTAAAAACAAAGCAACTCAGATTTTTAAAAATATTTACATTTTGTTTATCTTTTATAAATTATGTCTTCTTTTTTTCATCAACTATTATTTTAAGTTCCAGGCTACATGTGCAAGATATGCAGGTTTGTTACATAGGTAAACATGTGCCATTGTGATTTGCTGCACAGATCGACTCATCACCTAGGTATTAAGCCCAACATCCGTAAGCTTTAAGTTGCTTCTTTCTATTATTAGGTCAAAGGAGCCATGCAGCATCCTCAACAAGTTACTGCTTAGATATTTCTTTTAACAAATACCCTATTTCATGATTCTAAAATTCTGCCTTCACAAATTGCTGGGACACAAAGACAATTCAGCCAAGTTCTTTACCACTTTATATACAGGATGGCCCTTCCTCCATCGTGCATTACCATGCTCCTTGTTTCCATCTAAGACCACACCAGAATTACTCCTAGTGTCCATGTTGCTAACAACATTCTGTTTACATTTATTTAAGTAATCTCAGAGATGATTTAGCCTTGGCTGTTAGCTCTCCTTCTTCTGAGCCGTCATCAGAATAGCCCTTAACTCTCCTTTAATGGCAGTGTAGACTTTTGTAGCCTCTTCTTTCAAACCCAACCAGCCTCTGTTCATTACCCAGTTCCAAAGCTGACACACATTTTTAGGTATTTGTTATGGTAAGAATACCACTTCTGGTATCCATTTCTATCTTAATCTTTATTGTGCTGCTAGAACAAAATACCTGAGATGGGGGAATTTATAATTGACAGAAATTTATTTTCTCGCAGCTCTAGAGACTAAGTTCAATATCTTGGTGCTTGCACCTTGCAATGGCCTTCTTACTGTGTCATCTCAAGGTGAAAGACTGAATGACAAGAAAAGGAAAAGGAAATAAAGGGAGCCCTTTTATACTGGCATTAATCCCACCCATGAGAACAGAGGCCTCATAGCACAATTAATTCTTTAAGGTCACATGACTTAGTAGTATTGCAATAGCAATTAAATTTCAACAAAAGTTTTGGAGGGAGCACCTAACTTTCTTTTGTTTTCCTTTTTGATTTATCTGGACCCTGGTTAATAGTCATCTCAATTAACATATTGGTATTTTTTTAAGGGTTATTTGGTTTCCACTTTTACATTTTCTCTAATTCCATAACAAGACATCCATTATGGGTTCAGTTTAGATTTGTGGATTTACCACATCTTTGAGGCAGGCCATTGTTCCTCTGAAGAAACAATCTTTTCACATGAGAGGGGATAAAAATCTGAGCTCCAAACTCCACTTCTATTCTTAAATCTCAGATTTTAGGGTATTTGTGTTAGTCCTGTAGCTAATATCAATGTGTGTTTTAAAAGTCCAATGTTGTTTGACAGATGATGCCTCTGATCATGGCTATACGTTTAGCTTCTTGTGTTTTAGGGTTCAGGGATCCATTACTCCTCCCAAAGATAACTCACTCTGAAGCTGAGGATCAGAGTTGTTGGAGCTTTCCCTAAACCAATTTTCCCTCTAGTCCATAGGCTTATAATAGGAAGTTGGTAACAGTCCTTGACAGAGCGATTCCTCCTTGGAAGTCTCACAAAAATAAGTCAAACCCCATCAGCAACCTCAGTTGATGAGTTAACTGGCCCAGAGACTAGGAAGTAGAGACAATGTATTCACAAAACTGAGTTTGACTCTGTTTCTCTGTGAAGTGCATAATAAATGGAGGAAGTGGGATGGTGGTTAAGGAAACTTGAGAGACTACAGACACTCAGAGGAGGATATGGTATAACTCCAGCTTTCATGTGGAGATGAGGTCGTGGATGGGAAGCTTTTACAAAATGACCGCAAAGTAAAATAGCTGCTGGAGTCCACGGGGAAAGGAGGGGCAAAGTGGTGGAAGGAAGCGCAGACTGAGAAGTGGACTGGAGTTTCAGGATTTTGTTTGATCACCGTTGGATAGTGGTTCTCTTCAGAGAGGAGGGATCCAATTTTAGTGTCTAAACTAGACAATAAAATTCTCTGAATACCTGTCTCCTTATGAGAGGGAGTGGAACAATATGTGATCCCATCTACCAATAACTTTTCATTCTTACCAGTTGTGTCAGAATTTTAGAACTTCTGCAGAGTGGGCAATAGAACAGAGAAATAAAGAGTACAGACCCTGGTGTCAGGTTCATTGGGTCTGAATTCTGGTTATGCCTCATGTTGTGGCTAATGTGTGAACTTGGGCAAGTTAATCCAACTTTCTGTGGATAAGCATGTTTTTTGACTAAGGTATCTCTCTTCTATGTAGGGATTATTTTTTTTACCTTGAGACAGAGTCTCGCTCTGTCGCCAGGCTGGAGTGCAGTGGTGTGATCTTGGCTCACTGCAACCTCTGCCTACCAGGTTCAAGCAATTATCCTGCCTCAGCCTCCCTAGTAGCTGGGACTACATGATTTGCAACACCATGCCCAGCTAATTTTTGCATTTTGAGTAGAGATTAGGTTTTCACCATGTTGGCCAGGATGGTCTCCATCTCTTGATCTTGTGATCTGCCCACCTCAGCCTCCCAATATGTAGGGATATTTTTAAAAATATTTAACACATGTAAAAATATTTCTCAGAGCATAAAAATTATAATATACATGTTTTTGCAAATGGAACGATATAACATAAATATTCTAAACTATTATATGAAAGGGGGTATATTGTAAGGTACATAGAGAATTATAGTTTAAGCTTTAATCATCACTGTTATGTGCTTAGCAGAAACAGTTAAGAGTGCCTTTGCTGAATGCATCATCACTCTCTTCCTCCTCTTTCTCCTCAATGTTTCTAGCAACAGTTCTGAAGAGGCATTAGACTTGATTTATTACTTCCGGGCAGTGAGATGTAAGGTGCAGTCCCCAGAACCCTTGAGCTTCTTCCACGGGAGTTTCTCTTACCACAGGCTCCTTTCCGGACATGCCTGGTCATTCCTTCACGGTAAATGACGTTAGCATGCCATGAACTGTGTCCCTCCCTTTTCCCACTGCCCCAGGCAGGATGCTCCACATCTTGTCCTGCTGCCTCTGTTGTCACTTGTCCCACAGATGGGGCTGCTCTATGTTCACACACTCCCTGCCCCTACTCCCAGGCTCCTCCCTACACACCCATTATCACCATTCCTGGAAGGTCCCCTGCTTCTTCGTGGGCTGCTGAGGGCCGTGGGAACTGGGCACCTGGTTGCTGCTTTGGTGTGCACAGTTTGACAAGCTGTTTGTGAAAAAGAACCTTATCTGTGACCACTCCCAGGGTGTGCCAGGAAGAAGGCCCCCCCACCCAATACCAGAATTTCCTTGTGTCAGAGCTATCTGCAGGGCCTCTGAGCTTCTACCCTTACCCACTGCTTAGAATTCAAAATCAAAGCTCTCGTTATAGTAAGAGAGATCCACAGGAAAATAGCATCTGTTGTGGATTTAAGGAACTTACAACTTCTCTGAAAACTATACACTCAAGTAAATACAGTAAGTAACTGGGGTCTTGATAGAGTAGGTGTTTCTGAGTATTCAGTGATGCATACAGAAGAATGAGATAATGTCCTTTGCAGGGACATGAATGGTGCTGGAGGCCATTACTCTTAGCAAACGAACAGAAAATCAAATACTGTATATTCCCATTGATAAGTGGGAGCTAAGTGATGAGCACAATTGAACAAATAAAGGGGAGCAACACACATGAGGTCTTTTGGAGGGTGGAATGTGGGAGGAGAAAGGGTGTAAGTAAACATAACTAATGCGTACTATGCTTAGTACCTGGGTGATGAAATGATCTGTACAGCAAACCCTCATTATACAAGTTTACCTATGTAATAAACTTGCATTTGTATCACTTAAAATAAAAGTTAAAAAAGAGAAGAAAACCTTATGCCACGAAGTACTTTTTAATACTTTGTCTTAAATTAAAAAAAAAATTAATTGCTTGTTTAATTTTCATAAGATAAATATGTCATGGTATCAAGTATACTGGACTCTTACCTTACTATATCCTTTGGTAACTGAAGAATATTTATAGAAAAAAGAATACTTATAGAAAAATAGAAATCATTCTCTGGTTGTAATCATTTTAAAAGGCATAACTACTTTTGTAAAAGCAGAAATAAATTGGATTAATTTAAAAACACATATGAACCAGACAGTGAGAATAAACAATGCTAACATTTGTCATCATTGGTTTTTGTTTTTGTTTTTTTGAAAGAGTTTCCCATTCTATCACCCAGGCTGGAGTGCAGTGGCACAACCACAACTCACTGCAACCTCAACCTCCTGAGTTCAAACAATACCCCACCTCAGCGTCCTAAGTAGTGGACACTACAGGCACATGTATATGTATACCTGGAGATATATATATATAGATATATGTGTGTGTCTGTGTGTGTGTGTGTGTGTGTGTGT